AGAGTAAGGGAGGGATTTGGTTGCCTGATGCAGGGGCTGAGGGACTTGAAAAGGGGAGAGAACACCTGAGTGGGTGTATTCGGCAGGGCTAACTGGGCCTGTGACACTGAATGGGCAGGATTTGATAAGATTGGGGGCATGGTGAGGTGAAAAATGCAGAGATTTGCTGTTTTGAATCTTGGCCTCTACTACTTGATTCGCATTGCTAAAGACTGAGCAGGAAGCATTAGTGCAGAGGGGAAAAACTACTAACAAGCATAACTTGAAGGTAGGCACCCCCATCAGGTCTGCATATTATCACTAACTAGCTATCTGAGTTTACTCCTATATCTGTGAGGCAGAGAAAACAATTCTATTTTCTGCCTGTCCTCAGAAGTATCAAATGAACAGATGAAAATGAAAGGTATAATACCCAACGTGTCCCTTTCTCAACAAGCAGCTGAATTGTCTGCTCTGTTTCCTGTTTCACACTCTGGAATCTTATCTCCTAGCCCAGCCTCCCCATAGGGAGCAGTTGGGGACCTTCCCTTTATCCTTAAGAATGGGCTCCTTTTTCATGGAGGTTTGTATAATTTAAAAAAAAAAAAAAAAAAAAAAAAAGAATGGGCTCCTCCTCCTCAGGCTGGAATGACCTTTCACCTTACTGCAGAAGAGACCTTCTTCTGCTTCTCCCCGCCCCCCCAGATTATCACAGCAGCACTGGAGGGTCAACAGCTTCACCCCGGCCCCCAGGCCCCCCTGCCCCTTTCAAGCCACTGAGGAGTTTAGGGTCTACCCAGGAGCTCTTTCCTCAGTAGCTGGCGCTGAAACTTGTGTAGTGAGTCTCCATCCGTCTGCTCAGTAAAATCACCTGAGGAGCTGTTCAATACTACTGAGGCCCAGGCCTCACACAAACCAGTTAAATTGGAATCTCGAGATGGGCCCAGCATTGATCCCAACATCAGTATTTTTTTTAAAGCTCCCCAAGTGCCACCAGGGTTAAGACATTATGCTAATGGTGTGGCTCCCAGACGCCCTGGGAGCTACCTGATCCATTGCATCCCTTTCCTTCTGACCCCCAGAGAGCCCTTCTGCAAGGATGCCACCTTGCCCCCTTGAGCCCCGCTTCTCCCACCCTAAACCCAAAACATTCCCAGCCCACAACCTGATCACCTCAAGGACCCCCGCAGACAGCCCTCATGACTCCCAGAGACGAAAGCATTCCCGTCCCCCTTGGGCCTGCCGTTTGTGTGACATCGGCCCCCAGTCCAGCCCACTCCTGCCCCTGAGCCCAGCAGCGGGCCAGTCTCTCACCGAAATCGTGACAGCCAAAGCCTTATCCCGCGGCTGCCCGGAGCCAGGTGCAAGCCAGTGCGCCTGCGCGCACGCTATCCAGTGCTTCCCCAGCCGCTCCCTCCGCCCCCGCCCGGCGATTGGCTCCGCGCGGCTCTCAGGGCTGTAGCTCGGGCAGGTGACCGCGCACGAGGCTGCCGCCGCCATGTTTCTCTCGGGCGCTTGCCCTTAGGGACCAAAAAGAGAAAGTGGACGCTGGCAAATAGAGGCAGGTTGCCTGGATTTCTGATTGGCTCACACCCTCTCTTTCACCTTCATGAAGGCTTAATATCGCTTCAGTTCAACTAGTTTTTTTTCTGAGTGCTCCCTTTCTTCCTCCCTCGTCCTTGCTTAGTATTAATCCAGACAATGAAGACAACACCTTCTTCCAAGCCTTATGATCTGACTGGATGCAAAGCTGAGGCAGATTTGGAGGTGGCAGCGGCACGACCTGGGACTCTCTGATGCTGCATTGTGAGCCCCTCAAGGGTGGACAGGGCCAGCTTGAGCCGTGGACACTATGGCTCTGGCCAGAGGAGCCAAAGCAGCGGACGTGGGGCACAGCCACCAGCGCCCTGAATGAGTGACCATACAGGTGACCTCCTCGTATTAATAGTAGTAATGATAAAATACAAGGAAGACCGAGCTCTTACTCTGTGCCCTGTACTGTGTTAAGAACTCTACATGCATTATTTTGTGAGTCCTCACATCTTCCTGGGAGGTAAGCACTATTATCCCCATTTTACAGGCAAGAGAGTGAGACTTTGTCAAAAAAACAAAACAAAAATCAAGGAGTCTGGCATGTTGAATTGGCCTTTTCTGGCATGAACTAGGACTTTTATAAATTTGTTAAAGGAATCCCCCTGCCTTTCTATCTCTGGCCAGTGTGTGTCTTTATATCAAAGCAAACCTAAGTCTTTACTTAGCCCTCCCTGAGTGTCTTGTGGGGAAACGGGAATGGGGAGGGCCGGCAGGGGCCAGAACTGGATGTGACCCAATAGGAAATACGTTTGGCTCCTCATGTTGCACTTAATTCCCCATGGTTACACTCTGAGGCCCCTCAGCCCTCAGGTTTTAGAGACAATGTAACCTGTTGCCTTTTTATGTCAGCACCAGGCCTGGGCCTTAGCAATTATCTCTGATTTCTCTCTGTGGCTACGAGGCACAGAGTTAACCGGGAAGGGGCATTGGGTGCAGCTAGAAGCCATATCTCCTGCCTGACTCCTTGAGCCCTATTGGAGTCCCTGGACCACAGGACAGAGAGAGACACAGCACTTTCTGTCCTTGAAATGCTCTCCCCCCTGGGCTTCCTACCTCTGTGATCCAGGTTCCACCCTGTTCTCCTACCTCTCTACTCCTCCTCAGTTCGTTCACTGGGCCACTTTCTCCCAGGGCTTCTAAAGGTAGAAGGAGGGTCCCCCAAGTTTCCATCTTCAACATTCTTCATTTATTCACTCAAATTTTTAGTCCATGCCAGGCCATAAGCTATATGGGGTAAAGGGGAAAACAATATTTCTGCCTGCAAGAGGCATACGTGGGAACTCAATAAGTTAGAAACCATGATGTTAACGGTGTGATCTGGACCAGAGACAAGCACAGCGCAGCAGCTGTTCTGGTAACGTCACCTACTGCCTTTTCTGTCATGACTATTCTACACCTCCCATCTCCAGCCTAAATGTAAAACAGCCTGCTGGACAGTTCCCAGAATGTCCCACCTGAACTCACCATTCCCCCAGCTTTTAGTCCCCCTCGGGTGTTTTCTATCTTCAGGATTGCCTTGACCTCCCACCCAGGCAGCCAAGCCAGAAACATGTCCATATGCTATCCTACCCCCCTCATCAAGGTGACCACATGGCATCAAACCCAGGTGGATTCCACTCCCATCTCTCTTTTCCATTCTTCTTGGCTAAAAAGGCATTGGCAAAATTGCATTCCTCTCTGGAGGCTATCCATTTTCCAGCTCCCAGAGGCAGTTTGCATGCCTTGGCCCATGACTCCTTTCCATCTTCAAAGCCAGCAATGAGCCAGGTGCAGTGGCTCATGCCTGTCATCCTAGCACTTTGGTAAGCTGAGGTGGGAGGATTGCTTGAAGCCATGAGCTTTGAGGACCACCCTGTGTGAGCGAATAGTGAGATCCCGTTCCGCACAAAAGGGGAGAGAGTAGAGAGCAGCGCGCGAGAGAGAAAGAGAGAGAGTAGGGTGTGTGGAAGAGTTGTGCCTGTGTGTTTAAAGATGTAGCTTGGCTCAGATTGTTCTGCCTTTAGTGTCCCAACGCACTTGGAATCACTTGTGAGCGCCTATGGGCGTGTTGAGGGCTCTTTTTATGTATAACTACCACTGCACTCTTTAGCCCAGGTGGTCAGTGTATGTTTTGAGACCTGGCTTCAGAAAAAAAAAAACAAGAAAAGCTAGTCATTAATGTCTGGTCATTAGTCCTTTCGTCTATTGCATTCACGCTTTGACATTGATCTTGTTTGCTCTTCTTCTCCTTCCCTCATTTGTGTCTCCCCTGTGGAGTTTACATCTGGGTCCACCCAGATGTAAGTCTGGATAATACTCATTTTCAAGTCAGTTAATTCGCAAATCTAATACCACCTGTGAATAACCTTAATTCTCGCGCTGTCCTCATCTTAACACTAACATAGCATAGGTTTTCCAAGTATGAGAATATGAAACATCTCTCTGCCGCGGTACCGCGCTTATTCTTTCTACCACCAGAAGACCACGCTGCAACAAAGTCCCCTGCCGTTCTGGCGACCAGGTCCTTAGGAGGGTGGACACTTAGGCAAGGCGGCTTCTAAGGAGTGTTTGGGTATATTAAAATGAAACTCTAGCCAAGCCCCCTTGCCTCCATCGTATGAGCCTCGGCCCCCAGCCAGCCTGCCTGCGAGCGCCTGTGTAGGCTCTCTGGCCCCAAACTTAGACTTAGGAGAGCGCAGCCTCAGGAATAAAGCGACATCATCCCGAGGGAGGTGTGCGGAGGCCTTCCAGAGGGGCAGTTGGGTTTTTGAGGATACTGGAGAACACCCAGACAGGAAGCCTGTGGGGTTCTGGTGGGCGCTTGAGTCAACAGAGAGAAGGGGAAGGAGGCCGGGCACAGTGGTAATCCTAAGCTCTGGGAGCTAATGGCAGGGAGACATTGGGCCAAGGCCAGGAGTTTGAGACCAGCTGAGAAAGTGTGAGACCTGTGTTTACAAAATAGTAAAAATTAGTTGGTTGTTGGTGGCGCAGTGCCTATAAGCCGCAGGATACTCGGGAGGCAGGCAGGAGGAATCAATTAAACCCAGGAGTTTGAGTGTAGGAGCGTATGATGATGCCATGTGCACTCCAGTCTGGGGCTACAAAAGCTAGTCTAAAAAACAAAAAAAAAAAATGATGGGAGGAAGGAAAGTATGCAGCCCACAGCTAGGAGAGGTTATTGCTTTTAATAGTCCCACAACTATCACTCACCCCACTGGAGAAGGAAGGGGTGGAGGGGTTCTGACCCACAACCAAAGGGGGCCTAGAGCTTGAGATAGGGTTCACTCTGGATGAAGCAAGCTTTCTGGCCTTCACCCAAGTAACTTCTGAGGCTTTGGCCTTTCAGTGGACTGGGCTTAAACTCACTGTGGTAGTTATAGGGCTGGTGAGTACTGGTTGGAACGATGAGCAAAGGGGAGCCTTCTCCAAATGACTTCTAGGCTTTGGCTTCAGTTGGACTGGGTTCAAATCTCACTGTGGTAGTTATAGGCTGTGATACTGTTGCAAGATGAGAAAGGGGAGCCTTCTCCAAATGACTGACCCAGAGACCGGGCGATCACCAGTGAGGCTCAGAGGACAGGGTCCAAATTCTGAGCCTGGAACAAAGAGTGTAACAGTCCTTTATACATTTTTAGGAAGGGTGAGAAGCACAGTTACAATGTTATCTCTATTCCTAGTGGGGGCAGGGTCCTCAGCAGGCAGGCATGCCTTAAGTTCTTATCTTTTTGGTGCTGGCCTGCTCTTTGTAAGTAAGTTACAAAAGTCATAAAGCAAGTCAGCAGTTTTACAATCTAGATCTTAGCACTTTTTGCAACTTTACACCTTTTGTCCATGGTACAGAGTTCCCACAGAATTTCTTCCTTTCACAGGGGCTGAGGACCCCTACCACAATCCCAGGAAAGCAGCCTAACTTCTCTGAGCCTTTGGTTCCTTATCCATTAAATGATAATATCACTATGTATTTCACATGGCTGTTAAGAATTAAAAGCACTGTGTAACATTCTAGAGTGGGAGGATTTTGAGATAGTCTGAAAGAAACCCCAGCATGGATCGGCAATAGGACTAATATTGTGAACATGAGTCTTGAGACAGACATGGGGTTGAATTTTGCCCTTGCCATAACTAACTGTGTGAGTCTGGGCATGTTATTTAACCTACATTAGACCCAGCCATTGAAAACATTTATTGTTTACCAACTAGAGGCAAGCAGCTTCTTGCTATGTAATGTGGGGATAATATTAGCACTACCTTCCTAGTATCAATGTAAACTTGAAGTCAGATGCTCACAGTCAACTTGAGTGCCTGGCGTGCAGGAACTTCACTCAAATATTAGGGTAACCGAACCCATCTGGAGGGGCTGAGAGGTTGGGGTGTAGGGACTGGGAGCTAACTCAGTGATGCTGTAGGGAAGCAGTCCCTGAGCTTAGGGCTCTGCCTTTAGGGCAGGGCCACTATGACCGGTGCTCACTCTGGTGCAGACAGAGGCTGGCTGGCTCCTGGCCCGCTCGAGGTGTTTCCCTTTGCCTGGTAACGGGGAGGTGTGGCTGACACAGGGCATGGAGGGCACAGCAACTGAAAAGTGGTGGTGGAGGAGCCTCGCTCGGGATCCCTCTGGCTCCTCCAAATGCTGGGGACCAGCTCCCCCAGGCTGAAGGAGACAAGTGAGTGTGGAGTTACTGGGAAGAGCATGACAGGAGCTGAGGGCTTGAAAAGGCCTTGGGTCCCTATTCCGTGCCGGGAGCCAGGGGTTCAGTCCAACCCTGGGACAAGAGGTGAGGCGGGGAGCTAAACACTTGATGTAGGGAGTTCCCGACAGTTATGATCCAGAGCTCTGGGTTACCAGGCCCCAGGGACAGACAGGGGTGAGAACAAAGTCTGTAACCACACACCCTCCACGATAGGTCCGGACCAAGATGAGGCCCCAGTGAAAACGGCCATCGCCTAAGGTTCGGATCATGTACTCATACAGCTGCCTGCCCCCCGAGGAGGGCGTCTGGCCGCCGCCGCTGCCCCTCACCTGCGCCTACCTGCCCGCCTCTCTGCTGCTGCCCCCCATCCAGGCCCACAATTTCTGCAGCCGACCCTGGAGCCTGCGCGCAGGCGAGCGGGCGGCCCCGCGGGAATACCACTGCTTCCACGGCCCGGGCGCGCCCCTGGCTGCCGCGCCGCCCTGGTGGGCCTTCCCGCCAGTCTACGGCGCGGCCCTGCCCCCGCCCCCGCCCTTCCCCACCGCCCGCGTTCCCGGGCCGTCGCTACAGGCGCCCGCGGAGGCGGGGGCGGCGGCGGCCGAGAGCTGGACGCCGTGGCCCGAGGGCAGCAGCCTGGAAGCCAAGCTGCGCTGGGGCCGCGTGGAGCGCGCGCGGGGCCCGCGCCTCGAGCTGCCGGACTTCGTGCGCCGGGAGCTGCGGCGCGCGTACGGCACGTACCCGCACACCGACGTGCGCGTCACCCGCCGCGGCGGCGAGTTCCTGCTGCAGGCGGCGCCGCGCGTCCGCGAGCCCGAGCACCGCGTGGGGAGGCGCGTGGTGCGCCGGCCTGACAGCGGCGACGGCGGTGGCAGCCGCCCCGGGAAGAGGGGAGGCCTGAGCTGACGGCGCCGCAGGGCCCTGCGGCCGGCCCGCGAGAATGCTCGCGCCTCTCCTTCCTGCGCCTGCCGCCGCCAGCCGGCAACAGAGGGGACGGTGCACCTCACCCGTCTTTGGTTTTTTCCATGCCTGCCCGCCTCCCGCCTCCTGCACTTCTTTAATTTCTTTCGCATGATTGCTGGACGTTGGGGGAGGACGAAAAGCAATTAAGGACATCTCTGGGTGTTCTTTCCTTCTTGGGGCTTAGGAAGCAGAGAGTGGGGTGGTAGAAGGACCTGGACCCGCTGTTCCCTCTCTCGCTCCACCTTCCCTCCTTTTTCTCCTAAGAAGCCTGCCCTTCTGTAAGCCCCAACTTTCCCCTCCTCTCCTCCCTCTACCAGAGCTCCCCCACTCCCCGCAAAACTGAGGGAGCGACATCCCCAACTTGTAAAGAAAAGTAAATAAATGAGTGAAGTCAAGTGTACACTGTGAGATCATTTTTATTTTGGGGATGGTGTTTCTTCTTTGGCGTAAAGGGAGTTTTAAATCCCCTCTGGGAGTACGAGAAGGCAGGGCGGATTGTTACAGTGGCCCTCTGGAGAATGTGGGGGCCCTGACCGCTGGGCCTACCTCCCCTCTTCCCCAGCTCCCTCTATGTTCAGGCTAACACCTACACTTCCTTGGTCCTGTGGCCCACCATCCACAGAGATGCTGAGGGTAGAAGCTCTATTGTTGAAGTGTGGTAGGCATGACTAGGGAAGGGCCGCCTGAGACCTGGGCTGAAGGCTGGCTTTGACGTTTCCTAACCTGTAACTGAAGGCTCTCTAGCCTCAGTTCCTTCATCTGTAAAGGAGACATAAAATAACCCAGCCTACTTGGAAGTAAGATGAAAGTCACTTCTTGTTTACCAATTCTTGCTAAGTATATATTTTTTTAATTTATAAATAGTTTATTACATTTCAATAAGTGTATTGTGAATCAATAAAGCAAAAGTTAAGGACCGTGAGCTCATTACCAAGCCAGTTATTGATTTTCAAGTTCCAAAATAGAATAATACAGGAAGGGTAAAGAGAAAATAGGAGTTTTTTGTGATAATAAAAAACTTAAGTATCTTAAGAAGACAGATCTAAAGAAATTATAAGACACAAAGGAATTTTCAGCAGCTAATTAGGATGTTTATTTAATCTCTTCACCTTTTCAGTAATTAGCAATGTTATTTGGTTTTTACTCTTAAAAAACACCTTTTAAAATCAGGTCAGAGGAGTTTTCAAAACTACCTCTTATTGACTCATTTATTCTTTCAACTTTTTTTTTTTTTTTTTTTTGAGACAGAATCTCACTTTGTTGCCCAGGCTAGAGTGAGTGCCCTGGCGCCAGCCTAGCTCACAGCAACCTCAATCTCCCATGCCCGGCTAATTTTTTTTTTATATATATATATTAGTTGGTCAATTAATTTCTTTCTATTTATAGTAGAGACAGGTCTTGCTCTTGCTCAGGCTGGTTTCGAACTCCTGACCTCCAGCAATCTGCCCGCCTCGGCCTCCCAGAGTGCTAGGATTACAGTCATGAGCCACCATGCCCGGCCGTCTTTCAACTTCTTGTATATCCTCCTCTCTCGTCTTTGAAAAGTTTATCTTATTAGCTATCTATCTTATACCATTATTTTAGACATCTCAGGCTGCCATAACAAAATACCTTAGACTGGGTAGGTTAAACAACAGAAATTTATTTTCTTATAGTCCTGAAAGTTAGAAGTTCAAGATCAATGTGTCAGCATGGTCAGTTTCTGGTGATGGCTCTTTTCCTGGCTTGCAGACAGCCAACTTCTCGCTATGTGCTCACAAGGTGGAATGGGGTGGTGTGGGGAGAGCGAACTGTCGGGTGGCTCCTTTTCTACCAGTCTCATCATGAGGACCCCACCCTCATGACCTCATCTAACCTTAATTACCTCCCAAAGGCTCCGTCTCCACATACCATCACACGGGATAAGAGCTTCAACATATAAATTTCAGGGTGAGGCACAAACAGCCAGGCCACAACATTCACCAATTCAGAAAAATTGACACTGGCTCCAAACCATCAAGCAGATAATATGAGAATGAATAAGTCAATTTGTTTTCAAACTATTCCTGGATAAAACTTCCCTTTTGCTTTCTCTTATAGTAATCTAATTCAACAGGAAAGGGACTTCCTAAAAAATTTATGAACTAACACTAATTTCATGAACTAGTTCTTTAAAAACCAAAGATATGCCACACACCTGTAATTCCTGCTACTCAGTAGGCTGAGGTGTGTGTCTCCTTTCCAACTTTTTTTTTTGAGAGTCTCAAAAAAAAGATGGAAAGTGAGACACATGTGGTTTTGTAAAAACTGAGAAACCGAACATTAACTCATCTGTATGGGTATGTTTAATAAAAAACAACTTTTAATCCCCTATACCTTGTTTCTATGTTAACTAAAGATTCCTAAAATAATGTAAAGCATCTGTATGTCCTTGGAAAGTAATACAATGCACAAACATTTCTATATGACATTTTGATACATATTATAAAAGGAATGATGAATCACATATACTTTGATTCAAAATATGGAAAATATAAATATTAAAATTGACAGTTATAAATGGTTTGTGTTGGATTTTACCTAATTTTAACACAAATAGTTATTTTTATCACATACTACACAAATGAGAGCATAATAAACGTATTTCCCTGGATAGCACAAATTTCTTCATTGTAAAATATTTAAAATGTATGTAACTTTAAAAATACAGCTAAGAACATTTGCTTAATGACTATGAAGTCAATAGACAGCATTTCTCAAATTTTCAAGTGGAAGTGAGGGGTCGAGACATTGCATACCTGCAAGGCCCACACCCCAGTGAAGCCGGGAACTAACATCCGGCTTCTGGAAACTGTTGCTTGCTTGCCACGGAAACCGTTGCTTGCTTGCTTGTTTGCGCCAACTTTGCATTGTTCGAACCCCTGTATAGTGGGGCTACCAGCCAACCAATCATCTTAAAGGTCAATGCATGATCCACACGTGATCAGCCACTGCATAGTGTATGCACCATAGAGATAAAAGACACGCTGCAACCCTGGTCGGGGTCCTTGCCTACCAGAGTGGCCACTGCGTTGGTGCTCAAGGCTTGGACCCTGGCTAGCCAGAAAATAAACTCCTCTTGATTGTTTGCATCCTCGGTGTCTCTGTCTCTCTGTTGGGTGGGGTGGTGAGAGGTAGTCGACTCCCAACAGAAGGGTAGGAGAAAGCAGGACAAAAGGTGACTGAGATCACAGTTTAGGTGACTTGGCAAGGTCACCCAATTAGCAGGTTGCAGAGTTATATAAGGGACCCAGGATTTTCTTGTCTAAAAATGCTGCAGATTAGTGTTTTCAAGATGAAGGGGAAGAAAACCTTAATATAGTTCAGATCATTTAATACCATAAAACAGCTACAGAAACTAATTTTTAATTTTCAAAATTAAATGTGTGTATGGTCCATTGGTATCCAGCTTTAACACCTGCCTGTTCCCGTAAGTGCCATGTTCCACTACAACCCCAGCTTCAGCACACTTGCTGTTGGCAGCTAATTCTTTTTCACATAGAGTCACAAATTGAGAATAAAGTTCTAACCCTTCTTCTTTTCCAGAGTTAGAGTGATACTGCATGTTCTTTCCTTTTACTCTTCCCCTGGGGGTGGCTTGAGGAATGATAAGAATGTTGCCAGGTAGATCCAATATAGAGACTTGCTTGCCATTTTCTGTCTCGCTCAATTTCACATTTAACAGTGTATTAACTCCACCCACTGGGCCGGGTCGTCCCACTCAGCTGGGCGAACTTGCAGCCTGGCGAGCAAGCACTGCTGCAGGAGCGCGCGGGCCTGAGGCGTCCGGCCTCCCTCGGCCCTGGCTCCAGCTCGCGCCCAGTCGGGGTCCAAAGAGTTCGGGCTGTGCGGCCCCTGTGGCCCCTGCTTTTTTTTTTTTTTGAGACAGAGTCTCACTCTGTTGCCCCAGCTAGAGTGCCGTGGTATCAGCCTAGCTCACAGCAACCTCAAACTCCTGGGCCCAAGCGATCCTTCTGCCTCAGCTTCCCGAGTAGCTGGGATTACAGGCATGTGCCACCATGCCCAGCTAATTTTTTCTATATATTTTTAGTTATCCAATTAACTTCTTTCTATTTTTAGTAGAGGCAGGGTCTCGCTCTTGCTCAGGCTGGTTTCGAACTCCTAACCTTGAGCCATCCTCCTGCTTTGGCCTCACAGGCATGAGCCACCACACCAGGCCAAGTCTTTAATTCTTAATAGGCTGAGGTTTGCAATCTTTCAAGAGTTTGCTGGAGAGTGGCCACATGTCCAATTTTTTTTTGTTTGTTTGTTTTTTGTTTTTTTTGAGACTGAGTCTCGCTTTGTTGCCCAGGGTAGAGTGAGTGCCCTGGCGTCAGCCTAGCTCACAGCAACTTCAAACTCCTGGGCTCAAGCAATCCTGCTGCCTCAGCCTCCCAAGTAGCCGGAACTACAGGCATGCGCCACCATGCCAGGCTAATTTTTTCTATATATATTAGTTGGCCAATTAATTTCTTTGTATTTATAGTAGAGACGGGGTCTCGCTCTTGCTCAGGCTGGTTTTGAACTTGCGACCTCGAGCAATCCGCCTGCCTCAGCCTCCCAGAGTGCTAGGATTACAGGCGTGAGCTACCACATGTCCAATTTTAACTAGTCTAGCCAGATCACCAGATCTGATGCCCAACTGTAGAAATTTGGCCTCTTGTGGAATTGCTTAATCAACTTCCATTTGGTTACTTGGGTATACAGGTATGTTATTGAAGCTATAGACCACCTGATTGGATACTGCTGTATTTATGAGTTTCATGGAGTTCTCTCAAATCTCAGCACTATGAAGAGGTATTTCCTCTGATCAGGGGTTTGCTCTTATCTTTTGAGCACCAAGGATCTCATAACTGATCATGTTTTCCTTTTTTCCCTGGTTTCCAGGGAGCTCAGAACCAAATTTGCTTAGTATCTTTTGCATAAAGGCTGGATTCTGAAATCTGTTACCCCTAGTTTCATCTTATTTTCCTTTCCCTTTTTAAAAAAAAATAATTATAAAAACACAAGACAATGGCATAGTGCAATGGGTCTGCTTGTGTGACCTTGTGTGAATTATTTAATGTCCCTGAACCAATGTCCTCATCTAAAATTGGGATGATACTAGAACCTATCTCATAAGGTTAGTGAGAAGATTCTATGAAATCTCGGTGTTTCCAGAGTACACACAGTGTCTACCAGAGTGCCTGGCATATATTAAATGCACATATCTTAGTGTTTGTTTTAAAAAATAGTTTGCAATACAGAAATACATGATAGAGGAAGCTGACATCTTTTCTGATTTCCCTCACCCCCTAATGACCACTGGGGTCCAATCTATTATATTTCTATTTTTTTCTATGCACATAGTATTAAATACATAAAAGGAATTTCACTGTTTTGCCTATCACATTTTACACTAAGTATGTCTCGGACATCATTCCATGTCAGTGCAGGTAAGCAAACTCATTCTTTTTTTTTTTTTTTTTTTGAGACAGAGTCTCGCTTTGTTGCCCAGGCTAGAGTGAGTGCCCTGGCATCAGCCTAGCTCACAGCAACCTCAAACTCCTGGGCTCAAGCGATCCTTCTGTCTCAGCCTCCCAAGTAGCTGGGACTACAGGCATGCGCCACCATGCCCGGCTAATTTTTTCTATATATATTAGTTGGCCAATTAGTTTCTTTCTATTTATAGTAGAGACGGGGTCTCGCTCTTGCTCAGGCTGGTTTCGAACTCCTGACCTCGAGCAATCCGCCCGCCTCGGCCTCCCAGAGAGCTAGGATTACAGGCGTGAGCCACTGCGCCCGGCCCAAACTCATTCTTTAACAGCACCCAGTATTCTG